TGGCCATAGTCCTTATTTTACAGGGGGCTGTTACAATCCCTTGAGGCTACTCCTAATTGTTTATAATTACGACTGGTTTAATTTGTTACACTTCGACTGGGACTTTTAGTTTACATCCTTACCATAATCTTTATTATGGTTAAAATATTCATGTAAAAAGCTATATACATGCTCAACCTTTTCTAATTCTAATTCTAATTCTAATTTATTATTTCTTTGCACAGTGTATAATTACTAGATATTCTTAAAAACACCACCACAACAAAGGTATCGTCCTAATAAATAAAAAAGAGTGTATTTTATCGGTGTTAGATGGGAGTCTCACTAAATATCAATATACGTTTAAAAATTTGTCCATAAAGTTTAGATTAAAATTCAATAAAAATGATTGACTGATTTAGTATAGCTTTAATATAGTCATTCAAAGTTGTTGTTACAAATTCTTCATTCTCTATTGTTTTTCTTGTAAAATCGAAATCTAACAACGTTTCATTTGCATGAGGTGATGATATTTTGTGAGAGTTAATTTAGAGTTTTTCATCTGAATTGCTCATAATTATTACTTCGGCGGAGCGCGAAGTAAAGGATTCGCGACGCTCAGGAATGTATCAAAGTGACCATTTTTTGACAAGATTGGGCATGCAAAGTCTGTAGGTGTTCGGTTTTATTCGGCTATTTGACGAAGTGAGAGCCGAATTAGTTCGAGATATCTCGAGATCACTTCGATTTGTTTGATATATTCTTTAACTTTTTCGAGGAAGAAAGAACTATTATTTCGGCTTCCCCGGGGTTTGAACCGACTCAACTGTGTGACCCGTCAGGTCAGAGGAGACTCTAAGTTGAGGGATGAGCCGATTGCACTACTGCGACCCAAGGTAGATCGGGATATGAAAAATAGTTATGAAATTATGCACTAGTTTCGGGACAAGATTGGGCGTGCAAGTTCACGACTTTTCGGCTTGTTTCGGCTATTTCACGAAATGAAACCGGGCTACTTCGTGATATCTTGAGATCACTTCGAGTTTAGTCTTAAATTTACTCGAGGAATAAATAGAGGATATTACGTTGCCGCGCAGAGACACGAAATTTCTCTTCGAGTGTTGAAAAACATTTCACGAGTGAGCCCTCCTTTCGAACTGCTTTATGATGAAACAAAGACATTTTGTCTTTGTTGAGTGTAGTCAGGAGCCTATCAAATGGAGCCTCCATCTCCCATACAAGCCCTTGGAGTCAACCCTTTCCCGAGTAGATTTATAATTAGAACGGTTCCCAGGGGAGACTTCGCGCGCCGACGGTGGGAAGAGCCAATCACAACGACTAAATGACACTGCTATTGTACTTCATGAAACAGCAGGAAATCCGGTGCTGACAGGCCAAACAAAATCATAAGCTAGTGAAACGTGACTTAAGCGTTTTCATCCCTCAGAGATTTTCTTTCTTTTCTTTGTAGCGGGTAGATTATACTGTGGAGAGTTTTAAACTCTGAGTATGTTAATCTTAATTTTGGTTGCTTATCTCACATTAAGCTGGTCTGTTACATGCGCAAGGATTAACTTCTACCTGCAGTCTGTAGTTCTGACAGGATTCGTTTTCTTCAGCCAGTTTTTTTGAGCGTTAAGGTTCTTATTTCGGCTAAATGACTCAATATTAATCAAATTTCTAGTTTTTCAAGTTTTTATCCGAAATGCGTTTGTCTGAATAAATACTGTGGTTGTTTTGTCCGTCAGTTAGTGTGATGATTCCCTGCTATGTTTTGTAACGCCGAGCCCAGCCATTGTTTTCTCGCAAAAAAGTGATCTACAGATGCGAATTCGAAGGAAAGAATTGGCCTAAACTTCTACATTAACTGCTGAGAATTCTCCAGTTGGTCAGTCATAATTCTTTGGGCGCAGATACAATCCATTTTGTTTTTCTTGAGATAAGAGGGTCTCTGGACTGGAGCGCGATATCACAAATTCCACCGTTAGCAAATTACTTTTGAGTTAGCTTCACGGTCGAGCAACTGTTGTCTTCTGTTCAACTTTTCAAGTGCCAGTTTTATCAGGCAACTCTCATGGTGATACAAGTCAGTTGTAAAGGAAGACTGCAATTTTTCTGAAGCATTCCTCGTTAGTTGCTACTTAGGTCATCGCTTTTGCACACGGTGCTTAACTGGCGAAATCCACTCCACGGCGATGACAAAAATAAATGATCCTGACACTTTTTCGGCGCTGATCATCGAAAAGTTTCAAATCGTCCACAGAGCGCTTAATCGTCGACTCTTTTCAAGGTGCATGCTTAAATGTGGGATGTATGACGGCAAAAAAAAAAACAAACAAAAACACTCGCAAAGAACCTTTCCCTGATCCTCAGTTCGCTGCCTTTGTCCCATCGCTTCATGCTCAGTCTCAGTCGGGTAATTCATTAACTTTTATTTCATCCCAGATCCCAGCGGCTGTAAAACTGTAAAAATGGACGCATAGTAAAAAAGGAAAACGGTCGAAGGACGGGCTTCTGAGTTCGACTTCATCCAACTTCATTTTTTTCACGGTGACATACGAGACTCACGGAAATATGACACATTTCATTTGCTAACTGACTGGTCCGGCCGGCAAGCTCTGTAGACCATGACCTTGGTGTGTGCAATCAGTCTGTTGTTTGGTTCAAACTCTATATGACAGCCTCGACATAGTGCTTGCTTCATTTTCAATTCTCTTGTTCGACTCACTTTCGAGTGAGAGACTGTGATAGTGGAGCCAAGGTATAGTAATTAGTAAAATTTTGCTCATCTTCGATCCAACAGCTTCTTCTTCTTCTTCTTCTTCTTTTTTTTTTTTTTATTTTCCGGAACTGTCAGTTGCGACAAGCTCAAAATTTTAGTGTAACTGGACTATACAAAACAAGTTTGTCTTTACTGCTTCCATTTGATATTATTAAAGAAGATAAACTGAAAAGAGACTCACTTTGTTGACTTTGTCATGCTTTCTTGCTACTGAAAAATCGTAGGGCAAAAATCGACGCGCACGGAGTGTATTGCCTGATACCCGACCTCCGATTTGCTACTATGTGACCCAAAATAGCCAATTAAATCACGCAAAAATTAATCAGTGGATTATAATTAGATATAATTAAACAAATTCACACCACTTTTCCTTTCTAAAATAATATAGATCATAAAAATAGCTATAAAATATTCAAACGTTTGCATTGGCATCTATAAGAGTATAGACAATTGGGATTATATCCTTCCAGTTTGTCAAAGTCTCTGTGGGATTCGTTACTCTATCTGGGAAAGCTTCATTGGTTTCTATATCTGCTGCTATCCTATTTCTACGATCCTGGCATGTTTATTTTCCGTTGGAGTCCGAATTTCGTGGAAAAAGTTGTGTTGAATGAGAGCATGTCGGCGAAAATGGCCTCTCGTGTTTCCTACCTTGTACATTATTATTGTATATAGAGTGAATTTGAACAAATTACTGCAAATTATCACGGAACGTCGTTGGAGCAATAAGGACAACAACAATTAACTGCAGAGTAAATTTCATTGATCTTTATTCAGTATTTCCTAGAAATTTTAAGATGGTATTTTTACCCCATACAAACAGTGTAATTTTACAGGAACCGTACTGTGGTACTAATAGTACTATCACAAAGCCTGGGCTACCTGTGGTTACACATGGGAGATTTTAAAGCAAGATGGGTGGATTTCTAGGGACTCTTTGGTGGGTTGTTTTATTCTTCTGCTTGTTTTGTGCTGATATTTGGGGGATGAGGTGGTTAAAAAACAGATGTTACTGCAAGGAGGAGCTGCGACTAATCGACTTTGATGTTGGTACCTAATTCAGTTCCACTGGTAAACTACACTACACTGAACTTGAGACATAATTTATTGTCTCAAGTAAACTTTTCGGTGTTGAAGGAACAACTCCCCAATTTAAAAATGGTGGATCTGAGGGACAATCCGTTCGACTGTAAAGGATTCCCGGACAAGACAATATTTGGAGTAATCATTGACTGTGAAATCGCAGTGACCAGAAAAACTCTAGACTACAAGACCACCATCATCACACGCTGGAACTCCCACCAGAAAAACTCTAAAGACTAGCAAACTAGCCCAACCAACAACGACTACAAGATTCTACCATCATCACACCCTGCAACGTCCATAATTATTTATATGACTGTTTTGTTTTCATCCGTTTTATTAATGCTGGTTATTATCCTTTGTTTGAAAGGTGTTGTAAAACTGTGCAAAACAAGACATCGTACCAGAACACTTCCGATTTCCTGTGAACAAAGTCTGTTCAATTTTGACGCTGATAGCGAGGAACACGTAATATTTGATGTCACTGCCTTGTAAATACGCAACGGATTTCATGTCTTCTCCTGCTTAATAGCTAAATGTTACGCTTAAAGTTCTTCTTGGTTTCAGATCGCTTTTGTCTTAGAGGACTCCATGCCGAATTAGTTCAAAGGTGACCACAAGGCAATATGACGCTGGCGTGACCTTTATGACCACGTTGTGATTTTCCTGGTGAATCATTTTAGCCTGCGAACGGTAGACGCCTCTGTGGTTACCCCTCTTTAAAAAGAACGACAACTGTCTGAATGTTTATTATGAGAAATTGTTTAATATTACAATTCAGTTCACTCCATTACGCTTTGTTGTTCAACGCGAAACTAAATTTTCTCCCGTAGCAAAAGTTGTAATGTATGTTTTGGTGTCTGAGTCTACCAGCTTTGATTAATTTATGAGAACACAGAAGAGGCATAGGCCGGTCAGATGCAAATGACTACTGGTGAACGGAACGTGTAACAATGATTATAGACAAAAACGTTTTATTTCCTTTTTTTTTTAATTCACAGTGCACGGTAGGACATTTATTCTACTAATTAAAAAGTGTCCGATTCTCGATAACTCCATGCTGTCGCTGGTGTTTGGATCGCTTGGGGTTCTTGACTTTCAGTGTTTTAAGGTCTCGTATTTTGCGTTTTCTCCTAATCTTTCGAATTCTGGTGAGTTAACTAGGCTCGCGGTTTGCAGGATCCTCGCGTCTCCATTGGTCAGAGTTTATACCGTCCGTGGGTAAAACAGTGAATTTACTTCCACGTCGAAATTGGACCATTTTGATCAGGTGTGCTATTTGCAGACCTGCCAACCCCTGATAAAGGAAAATCTGGAGACCCATGAAAAAAAATCTGGAGATTCTATAAAAAATAGTGAGATTCTATTTTTTTCCCGATCAAGATTAAACAAACCCCTTTTCCATTGTTTATACGATTGCGATCGCTTTCCCGCGCTGAACTTACAAAGACTAATGGGAAACTCAACATGGGAGACGCCTGGGAATTAGACCTCGTTCCCAAGGCCTACTCCCCTTTCAAAATGGCGGACAGACACGAAGAAAAACGATTAAGTTTATTGAACACAAGCGAAAATCACAGCTGGGTACAAAAAAGTAAGAACAGTGTTCTTCTTTATTAGTTTTTCACTTTATGGCACAAGCATTCCTCGTTAATTTCCCATTTTTATTCTGATTCAACAACTTAAATCATTTCAGAATGATTTTTCCCAAAACCCGTGAGATTGAGGAGCCTTGTCGTGAGACCGTGAGAAGTGTCGAAATCACGTTCTGTAAAAGTTCCAGGAGGAGACTTATCACCTCCCAGGCGATTTTAAATTCGCTTACAGTCAAACCAGGTCAAGCGTTCCCGTCGCTAACAAACTAATGAATTCATTAATGGCAAAATGATTTCGTTTGTTGATTCAATAATCCATTCATAAAATGTATAATCCAACAGTCAAATTGTACCTCGATTCAATAATCAAATGTTGATTTGGTTTATGAACAAAATCTACGCGTTCTTTATTCTTGTCTGTTGTGTTCAATCGTATTTGCTTCCCTTTTCCTGCCGTTTACGATTGCGTTTTTCATTGCCTTTAATCAAAATAACAGCTAGAATAGACAGACCGCAAACGCAAAGAAACTGACAAAGGCCGAGGATCGAAATCCACCAATCACCGCACATACACTGACCTCAGTTTGACCGTCGTGTTTTCTAAGAGGTCAGGCCTAGGTCTGTTGCACTGATTACTGGCAGCAAACTGGCGTACATGTAACAGTTTGTTTGGGTTTGAACTTCAGAACTCGCCAGCACTCGACTCTCAGAAAAAAAAGAGGAAAAAATAAAATTCTGAGGTCAACTTGTGGAAAGTGTAATTTTTCAAAAAACAGTAATCGAATCAACATTCGATTATGGAATCGAGGCTAAATATGACTATTGGATTGTTCATTTTATGAATGGATTATTGAATCAACAAACGAAATCATTCTTCCGTGAATGAATTCATTAGTTCGTTAGCGACGGGAACGCTTGACCTGGTTTGACTGTAAATTCTCTCCGAAAAAGCAATGAAACGTGATTGTTGCGCTCTGCTGGTGTATGAACATTTTTAATTGTCTTAAGCTTTCTTTGATAATTCCATTGTTCCGTTCCGGGTTTTGAAAAAGGTAGCTAAGTCTCCGATATTCTCTTTCGACATCAATATTCCACACTTTTTCTAGGGTGTTTGGGGTTCCAACAGTAAACTTGTCAGCCATATTGTTTTTGTTGTTGTTGTTGTTGTTGTGGGTAAACGGAACTGACGTTCTGAGACTCGAACTCGAACAAGATTTCGCATGAAATAGCTCGCATGTGGTCTTCAGGTCTTGTTATAGACACTGAACAATACATCTGGCACTATCCAATCAGAGTAGGTGTTGTGTATGACTTATTGTTTGTCAAACAAAAGGCACACGAGCTAGTTCACATGCAAATTTTAGAGCTCGAGTCAAACATTTGTTAAACATAATTAGTGACGAACGCGGTGTAAAGATGAATAAAACTTTATTTCACACAAAAACTCTAAAAATCTTTCAAAGGATCTCAAGACAGCTCTATTTTCACATTGGCAACGATGTAACATTTTTATTTAGAACAAACAGGAAGACCTAGGGTTCCTTATATTGTTAAGCAGAGCAATACATTTAGATCTGCGTTCATCTTGTGCAAACGCTCTAGAATAAGAAGGCAACTATTTATCGTTTTCAATCTCTTCACGTTCTTCAGAGGTGATAACATAACGTTGAAAAGGTACGTGTTTGCCTTCAATGTGTCTTTCATACAAAACCTTCAACACCCGGTAACTTTCCGGGTGATGCCCGTCCTCTCTCGCGTACTTGTAGTACGCCTGACTCAGTACATCATCTTTCTCTAAACAAAGTGTAGCATCTGGGTCGTCTCGAGAGTCCTCTTTCATTTTTTGGACATAAAACTTGTACGATTCCCATACTTCATGCATCCATTCTCTGTATCTAAGCCCATGAAAGATGTTGGGACTTCCTAGACTGTTAAAACCGTCGTCACACATTTCAAAGCCTTCGTCACATTTGCGTGTATGGCGCTGGTGTTGGATAAATGCTTTCTGTTTAGCCTCTTGGCTATGTTTTTCAAACATCTCCTTTATCTCCCCATAAGGTTGAAATCTTGTGACCCGTGGCTGAGGTGAATACGAGAGCCGATCCTTGATACCATGCCATATTGGCTGGTCTATCCAAAAGAAAAATCCACACTCTTTTTTGTAGCATGTCAGAAATATTCGATCCTTGCTCCAAAGCTGTTTACTTTTTCTCAATGCTATCTTGTTAGAACAATCACAGACCAACTGAGCTGCATATTTTTTCACATCAGAGTGTGTATGATGCGCGATCCACTTTATGTCCCCTTTCCATTCTGAAGCAGGGGCAAACATAATACACATTTTCTCGGGGCAGTACACATAGCAAAATCCTTGCGCTTTTTCTACCAATTCCAACGTTGAGCGGGGATGAAACGGGCAGAACTGACCGGGTAAGGAACTGGCTTTATCTTCTGAAGCGCTCGATTCGACTTGCATGTTTGAAGCGATGTTTTAAAAATATTGGTGGTAGTAAGACTTTTTTCCTTAGCAAACCGATTGCAAGATTAATATGCTGAACGGAGAGCCCGCTTTTATTTTAAACACATAATAGATTGTTTACTATCCAATCGGAGTTAAAAGAACCTGGGCAAGTCTAGACAAGCCTATTGTTCTTATTGTAGTAGAGTGACGCTCATTATTAATTAGTAAACCTATCCACTTCATTATATATGGAGGAAGGCACTTAATTAGTATGGTGGAAATCCAAATTAGCATGCGGGAAATCCAAGGGAAATCCAAATTGAGGTTAAGTTTCAACATAGTCTACTAATAGTTCCTCCAATTGGAAAAATGTTTCGCGTTCCCCTGTCAGCAAGCTTTCCCGGGAAGTGGAAGTGGGAGACGCTCCTTGAGTCATCGCACAAATGTAAAAAAGAAAACTTTACCTGAACAATTTCGCCCGTTTCCAGTGAAACCCGGTTCACACTTGCAATTAAAGTGTCCAGCAGTATTTACACAAGTTGCATTTTGGTGGCAATCGTGGCTGCCGTTGTTGCATTCATCGGTATCTAGGTAGCATAGGGTCGGACATAGGGAAAAGAGCAAGAAAATGTAAATCTGATGGTTTTAAGATAAACGTCCACCTTACGAGTTAAAGGTATTTTTATTTTATTTTATAAGATAAGATAAGATAAGATAAGATAAGAGAGAGGGGATAAACTTTATGTAGCCATTCTAGCCTAACTCAACTAAAGCTGGGCTTCCATTAGAGGCGTGCAAAACGTATCACTCACATAATCATAACTATAACAAAATTGTCAAATCTGATTGGCTATCAACTGCCCTGATTTCAGCCTTAATTGGACAGTTTAATAGGACAGTACGCGCCATCACGCGCGCGCTTAAATGGCTTTTTTTTTCACTGCTAGCAAAACAAAATTTCGAATTTTTTGTGTTTTGATTTACAAAATTTATATCACAAATTTTGTTAAAGTTATGATTAATTGGTAACAGAACTTCGTGTCGTCCAATTCGGTCTGTACCCATACTCGTGATTAAACAAATCAGACTCCCGCTACGCGGTCGTCCGATTTTGTTAATCACTCGTATGATTACAGACCGAATTGGACTCCACTCAGTCCTGTTACCATTACAAATAATAAAGACAAAATATCAAATTATACAATCTAAACTAAACGCTACGAAAATTATAAACTTTAGACTGTATTCTATACATTAAATATTCTAAAAGAAATAAACAGAATCTGACTTAAATTTTATATATGCTATCTAAAAACATACCATTGACATATATTCTCCAGCAGAGACCCAAAGGCCAATGGGATTTGATTTCAGTTTTAAATGACGTGACGGTCTCACAATTTCACGTCTTTGCCCCTCTTTTGGGCAGAGGAAGGGCAATCTTTTTGGCTTAGTTCCAAGATTACGATTACTATTAGTTTATGGGCTTTAATTCTGTAAAGATATTTGATAGTCTGGGGATTGAGGGGATGGAAACTGTGTGTTTGTCTAACTCAATTTCACTAACAGTATCATGCCTTAGAGAGACAAGCCGTTGATTATTACGCCCGGAAATGCTATTGATAATTCTTCACGCTTGCTTTGGATCGCCACGCTCATTTTCAAGTTGATTCTAGCATAATAATTCCATTTTGTCTAGATAGCAGCAACAATAGAGATAGTCGTATAAACATAACAACTTTCTTTAATTTTCCAGACACAATTTGAAGGTACATCCGTCATCTTCAGTGTTACATATTTTGAAATCGCCGTTGAATTTAAAGCGCGCGCGATCTTACAAAGTTCGTTACATTGCGTTGTCAATATTGCGTACTAAAACAAAACAAAAAAATTAAGTTAGTGACGCTTAGTTCTTTACAGGGGGAGAGTCAGGTTAATGTTTTTTGTTTTTGTAAGCAATATTGACAACGCAATGCAACGTAAAAAACTTTGTAAGATCGCGCGCGCTTTAAATTCAACGGCGATTTCAAAATATGTGACACTGAAGATGACGGATGTACCGTCGAAACGTGCTTGAAAAATCAAGAAATTAAAGAAAGTTGTTATGTTTATACGAATTTCACTTTGCTTGTCTTCGAGCAATGTTTACAGCATTTCTAGCGGAAATATAGAGACCAATTGTTATCCTCGGTTCTCTTTATCGTTTATCGTAGCTAGACGATCTCGCTCCCTCATTTGTTGCGTAATCTTACTATTTACTTAGGGGAGACTAGACAGTTTGTTCCGGACCGGCTTTTTTCGTATAGGGCGTTTCTATCCAAAACTTCTAGAAACATTATTTTCCAACAGATCCGCATTGCATCAACGTCATTTTTAAGATTTAGAGGTTCGCAGGTTTTTTTTTTTTGTTATCTCAAATCCTGAATTTTTCTGAAGTTTCTAATTCCAATTTATTTCATTGTGTTGGATTTTTGAACCAAGTAAACTAGATCGTGATCACAAAAACCGAACCGTATCACATCAGAATCCAAAAACGACCTTGAGGTTTAAGTAATACGAGTAGGTTTGTCGATACTAAAAATAACAACTCCAAGATTTCATTATCCCATGTTCGATATACTAAAATTCTGCCACGACTCTGAGTCTTTAGAGTCAAAATTGCAAATATTTCACGACTTCATTGCTTCGCAATTCCCATAAGAGACTTAGGGCCTATTTACAAGGAGAGAGGGTTATCCTTTTGACGTGGCTACCCTAGCAAGCGGGTTAAAGTTAGCTCTGGTTTACAAGCAACCTCGTCTCCAGGGCGCTTTTCCCTGGCTTTGGAGGTCTGGCGGCCTCCAATTCCAGGAAAAAGCGCCCTGGGGACGAGGTTGGTTTACAAGCAAATTTCACAGGTAGGGACATCCTATCACCCGGGTCAACTTTACAAGCTTTGCTGACGTGTTACGTCGTGCGTGCATTCTTTGTAACGGTACAAAATTTGAAATAATGTTGAAGTTCTCTATGGAAAACACGTTAAATTCACGAAGAAAGGGAAAGTATTATCATCGTAGACAGAAAATAACTAGTTATTATTCAGATGTTTATAATTAAGCTCAGACATTGGATAATACCGTTCAAATTGGTACGATTACTGGTCATGCATGACGGCGGAACAACCCGGGTAGGCGAGTTATCCCTAGCTGAGCGTTCACAAGGGAGGTAGGGTAACCCTCTTGCCAGGGTAACCCTAGCACTCAGGTAGGGTTACCCTAGCGCTAGGGTAACCCTACCTGCCTTGTAAACACGTCGTGTGAAAAAAGAAGAAATATGCGAATGCAAGGGTAACCCTCTTGCCAGGGTAACCCAAGCACTCAGGTAGGGTTACCCTAGCGCTAGGGTAACCGTACCTACCTTGTAAACACGTCGTGTGAAAAAAGAAGAAATATGCGAGTGCAAGGGTAACCCTCTTGCCAGGGTAACCCTAGCACTCAGGTAGGGTTACCCTAGCGCTAGGGTAACCGTACCTACCTTGTAAACACGTCGTGTAAAAAAAGAAGAAATATGCGAGTGCTAGGGTAACCCTCTTGCTAGTGCAACCCTAGCACGAGGGTTACCCTCCCTCCTTGTAAACAGGCCCTTAAGCACAAAGAAAACCAAACCTAATGAAGAAAAATGACCAGAAAGCCCCTGAGTCATGTAAGAATTTTAATATATCGAACATGGGCTACTTTTACCCTGACAAAGGCGGCCATTCCCTGTGAATCCTGCCTGACAACTGCAATTAAAGTGTCCAGCGGCATTTACACAAATTGCATGCTGATGGCAATCATGGCTGCCGTTGACGCATTCATCGATATCTGAATAACACAGGGAGCAAAAAAACAAAAGAAAATGAATTTTTCCTTTTTCTTCCATTGGGCAGATCAGTGGCCGTTTAGAGTAAATAATGGTTTACAAAGTTTGCTACTGAAATGCTTAACATGCTCATTTTTTCTTGTCCACGGTTGTTGTAAAATCGCCAATGAAGCGTTACCTCCCCCTCCACTTTTTCCGAAGGAAAGACAACTATGACGAGTGTCTCTTCAGCCGTTTTCTCGTAAGTTACTAGGAGTCCTTCCACTTGTAAAAAATAATGTTCCACGTTCTTGGCATCACGCAAAATGCATTTTGGTGGCAATCATGGCTACCGCTGCTGCATTCATCGATATCTGATCGGCGAGTAACAGAAGGAAAACAAGGAAAAAATAAATCCAGTAGTTTCAAGATGGAGGCAAACGAGCAGATTATGGAATAAAAGGTATTGTTTACCCTGACACAGACGACCATTTCCTGTGAATCCTGTTTGACAGCTGCAATTAAAATGTCCAGCGGTATTTACACAAGTTGCATTTTGATGGCAATCATGGCTTCCGATGCTGCATTCATCGATATCTAAATAATATGAAGAGCAAAAAAGTTAATCTGATACTTTTTACATCAAGGTAAACGTGTTGTTCAAAAAATAAAAGGAAATTTAATTCACTGTTGTACATTGAGCACACTTGGTCGTTTCCTGCGAACCCTTGCTGATACGGCCTGGAATTAAAATGTAC